TGTAGACGTCCCTTTCCAACTTTTCGCGTTTCGTCTCACTTGTTCCGCTGCCCTGGCTAACATCACCAATTTCGGTTGCTGTGACGCCTCACGTTGTCAATACGCAAAACGGAACTGGACACACAGGAAAGAAAACAGTTTAGAGGGACAGGAAGATTTCTGGCTTGATCGCCGTCGGCAATAAGCACAGCCCCACGTCTGGACACTGTCCCCCCCTTTCAACCCCTTCCCGGTGTCCGTCCCCTTCGGTTTACACCATCCCCGACGCAGCCGTTGCTGCCACAGACATCACCACCTGCCCCGACCTTATCTACCTCGAAATTCAATATAAGGCGGGAGGGAACCAATGAAAACAGTCTCGGCTGAGTGGTGGGGTTGGCCGAGACAGGACTGCTTGTTCTCTCTCTCTCTTTTTCGCTCATTTGTGTATTGTTATAATTCTCTCTTTTTCACTTTCTTTTTCTCCGGTTCACTCGGAGCTCTTCTAAATAGCTTTCTTTCTCTCTATTTCACTGTCCCTTTGTCTGATAGCTCTATTTCTTTTACTTTTTTTCTATCGTGCTGTCTCTCTCTTTTCTACACCTTTCTCTATAGATTCTATTATTCTACTGCTCTCCCTCGCACTTTCTCGTTTTCATTTCGTTTCACTTTTCCACCGTTTTCCCCTCGATTTTCTACATTGCCCTTTCCCTCTCTCTATTTATATCGTATTATCAATCCTTTGTTTTCTGCTTCTCTCTAGGTCTCTCTTTCTTTCTAAACCATACTTTCCCCATACATTTTTCTACGTCGCTCTCTATACATGTATGCCTTCCTATCCTCTCTCTCCCTGTCTACTACTCTCTCCCCCTATTTTTCCACATCCTTCTTTCTCTCGATTTCTATTTTCCTATCGCTTTCTCTCTTTCTTCCCTATCGCTCTCTTCCCCTTTTCTACTGTTTTTTTTTGTTTTTTTTACACATCGCTCGCTCTCTATTTCTATTTTCTGTCGCTCTCTCTATCTTCGCTTTCTATTTCTATTTTCTATCGCTCTCTGTTTTCTATCGCTCTTTCCTTCTCATTTTCTATCTTGCTCCCCCTCCCCAATCCTCTCTCCCCCAACGTCAGACCCTCGTCTGAACAGCGGCCCGCCTGGAAGAGAACGGGGGTGCTGTCAATGGCCTCCGACGAGAACAGCCATAATGGACCACACGGCGGTCGGCCTACAAAGAGGACCACCGTCTAATTTCGCCCCCGCGGCGGAAGCGAACGCCTGTCTTTCCCCAACGCCTGCTGCTCGGATAAAAAAAAAAAAAAAAATATTGCCGATGGTGAAGCTATGCTCCGCTCGCTCGCGTCGTTCACACTTGTATAACAACGCGCTATTGAAAACGCTGCCAACTTTGTGTTGTTGTTGTTGTTGCCTCGCGATACTTCGGAAGCGGGCAGATTAAAATGTTTGTAAAAGGGGCAGCAACGCCGTGTAATGCGTCTGTCGTTGACATCACATCAACACTTAAGTGATAAAAAAAGAAAGCAGCGCGCGTCTAATTACCTCGCGACCGCTCTCCTCGCCGATGAAAGATTAGGCTATGTTTGCGGTAACGGGTACCAGCGGGGAAGTAAGGATAGTTTTTACCACCGATGGGGGTGAAAACGGCAGAGACAGTCGTCTCGCCTCCAACGCGAGCTTCCTATCTTCGACAATACTTCGGCTTCTCTTGAGCCTGGAGCGTGCACGCGCAGTCAAAGTACGAATAAATGCAACGAGCGGATACTGGAGGCTGGATATCCAAAAAAGAGACGTCTTCCCGTTCCCATCTTGTCAGTTTGGATAGCCCAAAGCACCGTAAAGGCCGGTTATGTTTGCGCTGTCTCGGTATATCTCGGTACCAGTGGGAAATATACGACATCGCCGCATCGCCCGCTAAGACAAAACACTCAAGAATCCAACGCCGAGCAACGGACGACCCAAGTGGCATATTCGTCGGTGCCGCGATGCACTGTCTTCATCGCGTGCTTGAATACGCGCTGGAATATATTCCCCGTTTCCAACGCACTTCGCGACGGAGATGCCAGTACTGCGCATGCGCGCTGCTAGCCACTTGTCTGCAGAGTTGCAGATCTCCTAGTGGGTTGAGGAGAGCATCGTGGCTCGGCGGAGACGATATACGAAAGGTCGCCATCGACCGCATGCGGCACTGAATTGTCACCTGGGCCCTATACTTCGCTTCACACTAAGTCCATGGCGCAGCCGACGCTACGTCCTGATGGGACCAAAAAGACAGCCTCAAAGACGCACCATCGTGGTGTTCGTCATGCTTCTGTACGTGCTCTATCAATCATAAACAGAAAAAAAGTTACTCGGGTTTTTGACACTGCTTGATCGGTCCCATTAGTTCCTAGCGTCGGCTGCGTCGAGACTTAAGCTGAAACCAAGTATAGAGCCTTCGAACATATTTCTGAGACCGACTCGCCGCTTGGGCTCTGGCGACGATGAGGCCACGCTTTCGTCACGAAAGGTGAAATCAGCGCGCTCCGAAAACTTCCGGTTCCAACCTTGTGTTTGACGGAGTATAGAGCCTACAGTGTAATGGAGCGCGCAAAGTTCGACCAAAAAGATTCCCGCTCGACGCTGACCTCTCGGAGTAGACTGCTATCTTTCGTTCCCTGCCGAGCCGGCAAGAAAAGCTACGTGTATACTCATGGTGAATTCGGGTGGTCGTCTCTCTTCTCTCCCCTTGACTCAGCAGAGAGCCCCCTCCTCGCCGCCAGAGCTACTCGGGATCCTTTCCAGCCGATCACAACTGCTCGGTTCAGAGCGCTCTGACGTGCTCAAACCAGTCACCGAAGTTAAACTTCTTGACATTGGTAATGCATTAAAAAAAGAAAAAAAGATTTTACTGCGTGCGGTGGACGATTGAGGATAAGTTACGCTAGCAATGTGATGAAATAACGGTTGTAACGTAAATAGTTCTACTCATCGACATGTAAAAAAAAAAGGAACAGAAAACAACAGTATGCGAATTGATTTTCGCAGAATGGAATGAAAGCCAATGTTGGGAAAGCGTCGTTAACTCATCGCGTTTTCGACAATGAACGCGCTGCGATAGCGGTCATGCGTACGGGGGAACTGGCAAATATAATACGCCTTTTTCTCACGGCGGAATATCGTGCAAGCAGGCTATAGTTCATATGGCCATGTGACACAAATCACAGTGCATTATATTCGCCCCTCCCTTTATTTTACAACACAAACCTTTGAACGCACTTTTACCAAACCTGAAAATTTCTTGAAGCGACCCGGAACCCGGGCAAAACAGCGGCGAGTTCTGCGAGCTGTTTCTTCGTCGGTTAAGTTTAGCGAATCCGCCGCCGTGAGATGAACGATCTCGTGAAAGCAGTGAGAATAGTTCCCACGTCAATTTTTCCTGCTACGGCCACAAACGAATGTCGTCCCGTCCGTTGTAATCCTCGCACAGTCGAATGCACACAAGAACTTTGTAGAACCAGATATCCATCGCCGCCATGCCGGACCCCGCACACCACCACACAAACCACTGCCGGCCATCGTCAACAAAACTACGTGATACCAGTCCAAGTACCACGTCACGCCTGTGCATTAGGTATTCAGGGTGTGCTCTGAGAGGGAGGGGCGCCCTCGGAAAGAACCTGCCGATCAGGCCACCGCACTCCCTTTCCACCACTCGATCTCGCGCTCTCTAGAAAGAGCACTCGAGAGCACGCAAAAGAAACCACGCGATTTCGCCGTCAGTGAACGAGTTAACCTACAGACTTGCACCACGTGATCGCCCTCTCCGCGCATGCTCACCGAGCAGAAAGCGAGGTCGGGCGATTGATCGGTACGGCAAGAACGTAGCTTTCATCGTCCCGTTAGCCCAGCGTAACTAACAACTCTTGTAAATAAACACGCTTCCCCTCCCCCCCCCCCCCCCCCCCCAAAAAAAAAAAATGCGCCTGTACGAAATATCCAGTGAAAATGCGAAACAGAGGAACTTCGACCATTATAATTTGCCCCCCGCGAAAAAAAGGCGAAAAAAAAAAAGAAAGAAAAATGCCAGTCGTTGCAATCCAAGGAAGAAGCTCGGCGAATAGGGCATTTAAAAATATTATTAAGCCTAGAAAAAAAAATTTGAAAAAAAAAAGACTGCATCGAGGCACCGGGCATTACGTTTCACCATACGCCCCAGCCACGTTATACTATGTATGTATATCTTACCACACGGCCACTGCGCAGGCTGATTCGTTAGGTCAAGACGTATTTTAAGCCTCACCATTCGCCCAGCTCCCCTACGCGGATTGCAGCGATTTATATGAGTGCTTTGCGGGAAAGTAGACTCTCCAGATTTCGTAAGCCGCGGTCCCAGAGCTCGGACATCGTACAAAGGAAACGCTGTTCGCGGCAGACGTGATGACAGAACTGTCTGCGCCACAAGGATCTTTGAAGCTTATGTACGTGCTTCCAACATGTCTACAGACAGTTTGTTTTACAGGAAATGTCCATACGAGGAAGAAACACGCCTCAGAGACAGTCTGTCTTTTCTACGATCCTAGCCTCCTCTATACTCACAAAGCCTGGCAGTTCGACGACGGAGCCGTAGATTGCCCTGTCGCAGATTTGGAGCGTGAGGATCTGGTGGCACAAAGCATCAAAGAGCCATTTCTCGGGGAACTTGAACGTGAGCGCGCAGCTTTTGCAGTGGCGAGGACCCGAAACACAGTTGTTCGCTCGGGAGAAGTGTGTTCGGCGTCTCGCCGCAGCGGGGCGTCAGTCACGTGGCTCTCTCCTCCCATCCGTTGTCTGCCGCTCCATCTTTTCCATATCGGGGGCCGCTTCTCGTGGCGATCTGCCAGGCTTTGAAAGTATACAAGAGCCTATGGTAAAATGTATTTAGCAGCGTGAACGCCGCTTTTGAGTGGAGCCTGCGGTCGGCGGCGGACAGCGTCTCGGCAGACCCACGGGACACGGAAAAGAGTATGAAGAAGCACGGATACTCACGTGCACTCTCTCCGACATGCCCTTGAGACCCTGGATGAACTCCGTGGCGGTCTTGGCTTTCTCGGACAGGGCTTGCAGGTTCTGGGACAGCTCCGTCTGGGAGAAGAACGAGAGACCGTCACACATTTCCATCCGCACACTCGTCCCAAAAAAGTCGGCTGCCCTATGCAAAAATTCTCTATGCTGTAGCACTTCTTAAAAGTAATTGGAGCAAAGGGGAGGAAGCAAAATAGCCATTAAAAAGAGATGCGCCCCCTCCCCCACCGTCCTCTCCACGCATTATTTGATTTGATGTACGGCACGTGAAAGGTTATCCGCGAATAGAGTAAGTTTTGTGCCTGTTTACTAATTCGCAATTTCAGAACGCGACGATAACAAAATAAAGCAGGTACCCCCCGCGAATAATATGAGCTGAAACATTTTTGCGCCTGCGGTCCCATCAAGCTCTATTTTCTTTTAACTTATCGAGCAGTCCGAAGAATGAGACTCCAATTTCGCATACAATGCGGAATTCAGATCACAGCTGTTTAAAAAAATCGGGCAGGTACTCCAATGAAGCACGAAGGACTCTATCAGCTCTTATTGTCCGCATTAGTACGTCTTTGTTTTGTGTTCATTTTAGTTTCGCTCTGTTCTCTACTAAAAATAAATAAAAATAAAATAAAAAATGTCATTTTTGGATACACGTTGCGGCCAGTAAGCCCAAATATACACAGGCAAATCCCCCGCAATTCCCCGTTCCGCGCGGTGCAATGTGGGATCGCCGCGAGGCCTTATGGGATTTTGTGGAAAGGTCGATTCCCGGCACGAATCGTCGCCGCACCAATGTCGCTCTAAAACACGTCTAGAAACAAGCTTCGTGAAGCGCTGTCAAGAGCATCGGAACAGGATGGCGTAACTCTGTAATATGCTTGAAATGCACGCGCACTCGCGCAAAGAAGACACTTTCTAAATTCATGCTCGTGAGTACATCGTAAGTTAAAATGAGTCTGTTGTTACGCGACGCCATACCCTGCCGCACAACTAACTTTACCAATTACTCAAAATAGTATATCCGGCGCACATTTTAATAAAAGTTACGCCATCAATGAGATGAACAGACCAAGTGGCCTTCACAACGGTATCGGTATTGTATACGGCGCGGGCCAGTCAGGCCGGAAGTATACGGTGTAAATTACCGATTGACTGCACTCTGGTACAAATTTCCTGTCGAAAGATGTCTACAACACAACAGGCACGCTGCGAACCTTACCTGTAACAATCGTCGTGTAAAAAAAAAAAAAAACACAGAACAGTACAAAACAAAATAGCAAGACCGATGAAGGAAACGTCTATGTAATAAAAAAAAAAAAGGGAAAGCAATAAAAAAAAAAAGGGGGGGGGGGGCTGGGGGACGCGAATGAAAGCTTTTTGGTGTGTGGAGGTGAAACTGCTATCGCATCGCTCCCAGCCACTTTTCCCTTGAAAGCATCTTCTCTCCGCGCACACCAAAAACAGAGTGAGCGAGCGAGCCGGCGAGAACGCTCTTCGTGGCATATCACTCAAGAAGGTTTCGCCCGTTGCCTTATTTTCTTGGCCACCTCCCGCTGCTTTTAGCCATCAAGAGCACGAACCTCCGGCATGGACGACGCTCCGGATCGCTGGCGAGGGGATACAAAAGGCTACGTACGCACGAACACTCACAAACGCAGCCATACGAAGAAAAGCACAAAAGGCTAAAAACTACGATCAGGCGTATTCTCCTGACAAGGCTGCAAACGAGCAACGATATAGACAAGGAGCTGCTGGGACGCCAATGCGAATGGTAAGCGTAGAAAGCGAAAATACACAACATCCGCGAAAGCACGCGCGCTTCGGCGCGTAATTAAGTTGGGGCCTATCCGCAGCCCAGAGTAATAGAAACGCGCGTCCGAGTATGAAGACCAGAAGACAGCGGACTAACAGATACACACATAACAGTGTAATAACACGTTGTACGAGTGAGTCGTATAGGCGGATGGGGAGAGGAAGGGGACGCGAGTGAGCACATGCTCACACTCGCATGTGACACTGATATGTAAACACACGTCGGCGGACACATGTAAATACGAGCGGACATGGATGTGTGCTCTCCACGTACCCCCTCCTCTCTCTCCCTCTCTCTGACGCCAAAGTCAAATTTGGGGGTTTTACGTGCCAAACCAACGGCGGGCATCTGGCACGCCCCAGCGGAGGACTGAGGATTAATTTCGACCACCTGGGGATCTTTTGACGTGCAACCGAAAGCTCGGTTACACGGCGTCTTCTCCGCAATAAGCCTCCGTCATATTGCGGGCACCTCGGCCGGGATTCGAACCCGCCACATGGGGATCCGTAGGCCGACGCCCTCGCCTCTCTCTGACGCACACATAGATCCATGCACATTCGTTCGAATTCACACACAAAAAAAACTCACATACAGGGATTCAGACAACCTCACACAGACACACTCACAAACTTACACGCCATCACACAAGCTCACGCACAGGCATTGACTAACAGAAAAACTCAAACCCGTACACACGCGCAGGGAAACAGGACAAACCCATTCACGCAGAGACTGCCACGTGCACGCACGCACACACACAGGTAGCAAGAATAAACATTGACGCACGGACCCACACTCTCGCAAACACAAAAGCACAGACAGATTGACACAACGCGAAGGCGGGCGCACATAGGCACAAACAAATGAACTCGCGCTTAAACGCCCAGATTAAAAAAAAAAAAAAAAACAAGCGTCAGCATACATATTTTACACACGCCCAGAAGCAGAAGTACGTTTTCTGAGTAAAAACGTCGCAGTGTGCCCCCGCGCAAAGTTACAAGCATAAGGCTTCCTCCGTTACAACCACGGCTCTCGGGCACGCCGGCATCAACAGAGCGTACAATTATGATACGAGGTACCGCCGTTTCGGTGCGGAGAAAAAACAAAAGAAAAACGACAATGGTTCGGTGAAAGTGCAAGCTGAATTGGGGAGATGGAAGCAACGCGCGCAAAATACCAGAACAACAAGCAAGAAAAAAAAGATCTAGAAAGAAAAAAAAAATCGCCGGAGGGTGTAAGCAAAGAGAGAGCATCCTCATCTCTCCGGAGGATTGCCACCGTTTCCTGGCACCGACGTTCCGGATCAGAGATCGCCTCGCGAAAAACGAGTCACGCTCGGAGAAGCAGCACCCGTTTCACTTTCTCATCTTCCTCCGTTTCCCTCTCCCCCTTTCTCTCTATCTCTCCCTCCCTCTCAGATTCCTCTTTTTTTTCTTCGTTTCGAGATCACCCTCGTTCACCCACGTACCTTCGAATTCACGCGGAGCCCTCGGTAAACATAAACAAGGCTTTAGCGACACTAAAACTACAAAAAATTACTTGGAAGAGGGATATAACGGAAACTAAATTTCCTCACTCAATTCAATCCATTCGCTTCACAAGCTGAACGGATACGATTATGGGCTAGTTTCTCCGATTCGTTTCATGTTTGTTCATTTTTCAATTGCTCCTAAATTCAGCCGGTGCGAACCAAAGCTCGCCACTTAGTGACCGATTAACAACTTGGCACCTCACCTGAATTCAAATTGGGTGGGGCGAACCGTTGGCGCAAAATAACGCGATAGAATGCGAGACCTTTTCCTCGAGTGCGTAAGTGGAGCGGAGAGCGTTTACGCATAAGTGGCCCATGCAGTTAAACGCCTGCGGTCACGTGACAGATCGCTCGCAGCCAATGAGATTGCAGCATTCGAGGATAAGAATGCCCAGGAGCGATACAAGCCACGCCCCATTTTTCTTAGTTACCTGACAGCATAGTAAAACAAGTTATACAGCTTGCCGCTGAAAAGCGATGCACGCAGACTCGTACAGGTTACTCGAAAAAGGGAAGTAATCGATTACACATATAATTAGACCCAGTTAAAAGATAGTTAATTATGTTACTCAATTACTTGAGAAGAAAAGTAATTGGATGCTACTTGAAAAAAGTAACCGTTACACTTCCCCAGTTACTTCAGACTTCCAAAACAACATTTTTCTGCAGGTTTGAAGATGGGTCTTTCATATACTGCACATTGTTGAATTATAATCAACGAAAAAGCTATTGATCTTTTTAATCCGTTAAGGCTGCTAAACCATTATTCCGTCGGACAATTGGCTCGAGGATTTCCAGGTAGGAATCTTGTAGAAACAGAAGGGTGCCACCAGAAAGGGGAGGGAAAAATAGTAATAGTTACAATTGAAATCTTAGTACTCCCAAAAGTAATCAGATAACTTTTGGGATTACTTCCTAATAAGTGTAATCAAATGATTACAAAATTATTGCAAAATGTCATCGAACACAAATAATTGTAACAGGCTTGAGCTGAGCTAGTTGGTTCATAGTTTACTTAAGGCCAGCTGAACTAGAAAAAACATACACATAAAGAAAAGACCATTCACGCCGCTGGACTAACAACTGATTTTCTTTTTCCTCCTCTTCAACTAGAAGCCACACTTGAGGGAACAATTCTCTTTTCCTCTTTTTTGCTTTCTAATCCACCTTAAATTTTTTTTTTCTTCCTTAATTCCCTTTAGAATGTTAACCCCGAAGAAATCTTTTTTCTTTCTCGTGAAGCACGAGAGAAGGTGCGCTAACGCAGTCATCGCCTTTTTCCTCAATGGCAAGTGCCTCTAGGATTTCACGTCCCAGTTTTGTTTTGTTCTTTGCCACGATGTTTACGTCGTAGAACAGTGCCGAACATTGACACGCACGACAATGGGTTGGCAAGTGTCCTCCTGCTGACAGGGTTTTCACTGATGCAGCGTGCTCCCTCGTCCGATCGTTAATGCATCGGCCGGTTTGTCCGATGTAACTTCGGCCGCATGTCAGCGGAATGTGGTATACCACCTCCTTTTCACACAGGGCGTATGGAGACTTGTGAACTGTGCCACACCTCTTCTCGTTGTTACTTCGCTCCTGGTTGACCCGGCGACACATGGAATAGGCTTTGTTTGGGGCCGAACACACCACCTGAACGCCTTGCCGTCCAGCTACCTTTTTCAGCTTGTGGGTCATCCCGTGAACATAGGGTGCTACCACCACCGCATGTTG